TCAGGATTGAGCGCTGTCCTCAGCGCGAGTTGTACGAAGAATGACGTTGCGGGGTGCTGGTGGAGTGTAAAGGGTGGTGAGGGATGTGGTCGGGTGGGAGGTCGATGGAACGGGGTGTTGGGAGGGCTGATACTCTGATAAACATGGTTTGAGCCGATTGAAATGCACCTGGATAATCCGGCCGAAGGGATCAGATTCTACGCGAATGCGGCAGACGGAATTTGAGAGCGGTCGAAGGACGATATAGGGTCCAGACCACTGACGATGAAACTTACTGGCATACCCGGCGGGGGGTTGGTCGTTGTGCAACCAAACACGGTCGCCGGGTTCGTATTGATTTCCGTGTGCCAGATGGTCATAATAATCCTTCTGGTGGGAGTGTGCAGCCTGAAGCTTCGTTCTGGCTGTGGTGTGGATGGTTTGTAGGGAGTCAATGAGCTGCTCGAGATACCGGTGTGGTTGTGCTATTTCCGGGGTGCCGTGTGGGATAGTTACGTCAGACGGGAGGCGCAGGTCGCGTCCGAAAAGCATCATGTGGGGGCTAAATGAAGTGGAGGAGTGAATGGTGGCGCGGTAGGCCAAAAGAAGATCGTCCCAGGAATCTGCACGGGACTGATCAACCATGCTGCGGAGGAACGCCACGAGAGTCTTGTTCGTGCGTTCCGTCTGACCGTTCCCGGCTGGGTGGAAAGGTGAGGAGCGCGTTTTGACTATGCCGAGAAGGTGACATAGGGCACGGAATAGGTAGTTTTCGAAGGCGGTTCCTTGATCCGTGTGGATGATGTAGCGGGACCCATAGCGAGCGATCCAGTGGTCGACTAGAGCCGCTGCCACAGTTAAACTTTCCGAGTTTGGGAGTGGGATGGTTTCGCACCATTTCGTGAAATAGTCGACGATAACCAAAATGAAGCGATTGCCTTTCTTAGTCTGAAATAAAGGTCCGATGATGTCTAAGCCGATGCGGTGGTTGGGAAAGCCTGCCGACATTGGTTCCAGTGGCGCCCGGGGACGGACTACAGGGTCCTTGATTTGAGCGCAAGTTTGACACGTCTGACAGACAGAAACTACGTCGCGTCGCTCATCGGGCCACCAATATCGTTGACGAACCGCGGCGAGTGTCTTGGCTTGGCCGCAATGTGCCAGTTCTTCATGGGTAGCACGGATGACTTGGGGCCTAAGAGTGCGAGGGACCACTAGACGGTTGGGAAGAGAGGGGTGGTGCTGGAAGAACAAGATGTTGTCGATTAGACGGAGGAAGGGCCACATAGACCAGAGACAATGGGCCTCCCAGCTGAGGCTCTCCATTTCGCGGGCGGTGGGTTTAGGGGATCCATGTAACTGGCGGTCATAGATGAGGGATACATTGGGATCGGACGCTTGCATTTGAGCCCATTGCTCCTGAGCTGCCTGTGATATTTGGATAGCTGCCACAGGAAAGGCGTCGTTCGGTGTCCTCGTCGGGGGGAGTGGTGGACGGGAGAGAGTGTCGGCGTTATTGTGACGTTTCCCAGGGCGATATTGAACTTCAAAGTCAAATTCTTCAATTAGCTCCCGCCATCTGGCGACTTGTCCTTCTGCATCCTTAAAATTCCGGAGCCATTTGAGGGCTTGGTGGTCGGTGCGGTCGATGAAGTGTTTAGCGAGCAGCAAGTGTCGGCATTTCTTGACAAAGGTGACGAGGGCTGGCATTTTCCGCCGTGTGGTACTGTAATGCCGTTGCACCTTGTCCAAACATTGACTGGCGTACGCTATTACGTGTTTATGTCCATCCGCAGCGATCTGGCTGAGGACTGCGCCAATAGCAAATCCGCTGGCGTCAGTATCGAGGATGAAGGGTGGGCTTTGCACGCCACCATCTGGGAGCGCAAGGATGGGGGCGGAAGTTAGAGCGTTTTTGAGGGTTAAGAAGGCTTGTGTACATTCTGCCGTCCACACAAAAGAACGACCCTTTTCCGTTAAGCGATGTAGCGGAAGGGCGATATTCGCGAAACCGTAAATGAAACGACGGTAATAGGAAGCCAATCCCAAGAAGGACCGTACATCCGTTTGTGATTGTGGTGTCGGCCAGTCGAGTACCTGCCGAATTTTCTCCGGATCAGGGGTGATGCCAGTTTCGTCTACTACGTGTCCAAGGTAGGTCACTTGTCGTTGTAGGAAATGGCACTTCTTGGGGTTACTCGTAAGTCCTGCTGCCTGTAACTCTTGGAGTACTAGGCTCAAGTTTTGGAGGAGGTGGCTGACGGACTTGCCGTGGATAATAATGTCATCCAAATAGACGAGACAGGACTGTGGTAATAGGTTTCTCAGTACGAACTGCATCAACCTTTGACACGTGGCTGTGGCATTCGCAAGACCCGGTGCTCCGGTCGGGCCTCTATCTGCCAGTAACTATGAGAGAGGTCGAGGCTGGCGAACCAAGACGCACCGACTAATGCGTCGATAGTGTCATCAATACGCGGGATCGGAAACGAGTCGCGCACGGTGACTTTGTTCAACTGGCGATAGTCGATGCATAGCCGTAGGTGTCCGTTCTTTTTCTTAACAAGCGTAACCGGGGCAGCCCACGGGGAGTTGGAGGGTTCAATTATACCCTGCGCAAGGAGGTCTGAAATTATGCTGTTAAGCTCCGTTTGGTAATGGATGGGTATTCGGCGAGCGGGTTGCCGTTGTGGTGCGGCGGTACCAGTGTATTTGGCATGCTGAACCAGTCCACTGCGCCCGATCGGTTGTCCAGCCCAGGTGAACACGCTCTGGAATGGGAGAAGGGTATCCTTTAGGCGACGGAGGTAGGTGACTGGGATTTCTTGGCGGGTCAACAGATCGTCAATGGACGTCGGTTCGTTTGGTGGGGTAGTGTCTAGCGTACTGACATCCACGGAGATGTTGGAGATGGCTGATCTGGAAATCAGAACTGCAGCCGGGTTGTTGGGGTCGATGATAAGCTGGTGGGCGCGGAGAAAGTCTAACCCGACAATGGCGTCAACTCTAATGTCCGGGGAGACTAGCATGGGATGTACGGCAGTGCAGATGGGGAGGACAATGGATACTTGCCGTGTGCCAGTGCAACGCAGGGGTGAACCATCAGCTGTGACTAACTGAATGTCTGAAGGAGGGGAGTGTGTAATGGGAATATGGGGAGACCGCAACACAGACCGTATGGCGCCAGTGTCAATAAGTACGGTGGCGGGGGTTCCATCAAGTGTGCCAGTGACTGTCAGCGGGAGATCTGTGGGTAGCGAGGAGGAAATAGAGGGCAAGATAGTGGGAGGGGTCTTACCGGCAGGGTTGTTGTGACCGCACTTGCGAGCACGATCCTTGAACTGCTGTCAGTACCAGCAGTCGTTCGTGTTGTTGGTCGCACGAGAGAAAGACGGTCCTCGATCGGATAGTCTGAGTTGCCCCTGGGGACTGCTAGGAGCACGGCGAGGTTCTTGTTGTGGTGGGGCGGACTCGAATATCCTTGTCGTTTGTAGGGCTGTGAGAAGGTTTGCAGGGGGTCGGATGCGAAACTCCCGTTTGATGTCTTCTGAACGGAGACCGCCCACGAATCGTAAGAAGACCTGGTCAGAGACTTGGGAGTCCGGGAAGACCCTGCTACCGAGACTGAAGAGGGCGTCTAGGTAGGAGTCCGCCTTTTCACCGGGCAGTTGTGTGCGGAGGCAAAATTGGTTGTGGAGGGCGATGAGGGGTTCCTGGGCACCGAAAAGGCTTTCCAGCGATGCCCATAGGCCCTAGACGTTAACGCCCTCACCTTTAAATGGCTCCATTCACGCTGAGCAAACCTCGCGTATGGTTTCGGCAAATTGAGGCTGTTTTCTCGACAAGCCCTATCAATAGTGAATGTACTCGATATTCATAAGTGACGCAGAGTCTTCCATTCGGTGTTACCGTTGATTTTGAGGACCTCATACATCCGATTCCTGCCAACAAACTTGACAGTCTGTTAAAGGACGCTGTGATCCAGTGTGCGGTTAAATCGGAAAACCGGATGCCGCGGGAACTTTTTGCGCAAGGGGAAATTGGTGACCAAACACATCACAGCTTATGCGACAAATGCGTTCGTTGCTTGCCGGTAGCCATATGGACGACGCAATCTTCCGGCAAATATGGTTAGATAAGTTGCCAGTTCCCATGCAAGAGGTCTTGGTTATGTTGGATACAAGCACTTCTTTAGAAAAAATTGTCAACCATGCTAACAGAATCAGTGAATGTTATCCGGTCAGCACGTCATCCGCTAGTATTCCGCAGACATCGACCCTCACTGCCAAGACCGATTGAGTGATCATCTCTGATCTCGAAATCACGCCTTAGTCTGATGCACCCAAGTCAGCACAATGTGTGCCGCTATTATCAGTTTTCAGTCCTCCGGGAACCAATAATGCCAACGTCTTCGTTCCCAGTCGCGTGAGCGGCGGTCACAGACGCAGTGCACGCAAGTGCGTTCCACCATGCACCTTCCAACGATCACCACAACAGTTAAACGACCATGCCAGGCAGTAATTTCTATGACTGAAACTGGCCAGTCGCGACCCAGTTGCCTCTTTTACATCAATCACAAGTCTGACTCAGCATTCACTGGAATGGCCAGCGTCGGACATGCTCCTTACTTATCATACCAAATGTGCCCACTAATCGGTGCTGGTTGAAGAGCTCACTTCAGTGCACACTCTGGCTGATGCCTCAAATGCACCTCTGCACAGATCGGAGTCTCATCACCTCGTGCAATACGGTCAACTCCTGTTTTCACCAAAAACACCTTCAAAACCGCATGTATACTGGATTCAAACCTTCTTTTTTTCCTTGAACACACTGTCGACCCCTTAATCTATTCGGTGCCGGAGGGGTGGGAAGGGGGGTGGGAGGAGTTGTAGCACCACAAACGAGACTAAACTTTCTACCTCTGGAACCCACGCCGCACTTAGTATCATGCGATCACGACAACTAGCGCGGCGTGTGTACCAGAGACAGAGGGATTAATCTTGCTGGAGTCGCTTAAGATAGACGAACGGCAAGCACCGACGCGATAAACTTAGAAAATACGCAATTAGCAGCATATTGATCACTTCTTAGAAGTATTTTGCAATAGATGCAATTACTGCTGATACTAACTTTCTCTTTTATTTTTATCCTGTAGGCAATTGCTTGTTTAACTTGCCCATACGCATAGTGCAAGGCCTAGTAATATGGCTGTATCCACGTGCGTGTGGGTTCCGCCGCTGTTCATGTAGAAAGTGGGCAATAAAAGCCGGTGAGTAGAAATCCATAGTACGTTGAAAATTTTGATTTTGGAGTCTGGGTAGTTCAGCACATTTAAAAACCTAACTTGATTCCTTTGATGCGATTGCTCATCAGAGCATGCGACATCGCGGTCTTCTTTACTGTCAGTGTCACGTGACCTTCCTTTACTTGATATCATTTGCTGTCAAGGCACCGCCTTCGTGGCTCCAAAGTTTCTGCGGTAGCGAACCGATACGGACAGCCTGGGTTTTGCATGCACACCGTTTGACGGGCGGAATCGCGGTCATCCCGAGTCGAGTCCGCAGCTGCAGGCATTAATGAATGCCTGGAGCTTTCACACTTTACGCAGGTTACATTTTTTTGACTGGACGGAAAACCCAGTAATCGAGTTAGTTGAAGTCGATAAATATCTACAGAACTGGGCTCTTCACTCAACCTGTGTTAAACTCCCCGTCCAAGTATTTACTCCTTTTCGTAGATTGCTTATTGCTTGTCTTAGGATAGCAGTTGCGTTCAACAATTTAAGACAAACTTTACGTGTTCGCTAGGCAAGAAAGTGTCTTGGCGGTTGGTTGCAACCCCCGCCAGTACAGTATGTATAACCACGGAGAACGCCATCCGTTACGAATGGTACTACCGCCAAAAAGGACACGAAATTATAGGCCTCGGTCAGTGTGCTTTCCTTACGGACCACCTTAGTACAGATGAAGTCCTGAGCGAGAAACCAACCAGGAAGGAAGATATCGAGCTCTATTCCTAACTTGTGGATATGGTGTGGCCTGAAGTATCTTGTAGAAGAACCTTCCGCGTACACATAGAAAAATGTACATAACCTGGATTGCCCGTATCTAACGGTGTCTAGTACTTGTCTGTGCTGGGTCATTGCTTTCTCATCCGCGTCGATGGCTTGGTATTTGTGGACAACTTTAAAGTTGTTGGCTCGGCACGTGGCTGTTGTTTTCGGCTGGATCAACCAATAGGACTTAGCGGTTAATGCGTAGAGGTTTTCCGTTTCCCGTAAGCAACCCGGTGACAGACCGAGAAACACGCCGGCACACAGCATCAGATGGCGAAACCATGCAATGTAATACGTCAGCTGTTTACGCGAATTCTAATGCCATTGAACCAATGCCTTCGAGCTGCTGCCAATTCTCGAAAACAACTTTTCGCATCCGTAGACGATTTCACCGCCACAGCGAGCAAAACTACTTTTGGCCGAATACCGCAGCGGGGAGGTTTTGAAAAGGTCCAGAACTAGACAACTAAGTTTGTTCTTTCTATTCGCTAACTTAGCCCAGAGGAAGGGCTTTACCGCAAGCGATAACACCCGATTCTTTTGAAAGCACACAATGCATTCGGTGGGCTAGATGTGCTGGAATTTCGATATTTTTTTCAGCATTGTCATACGCGCATTTTCTGAGTGCAACCCCGAATGCAGTTGAGGCCTCAAATATGTACACGAGTTTGTTAGATGAGTATTTCGCAGCATGTTACCGAGCCATGAAACGGTCATCTGAACGGGGTCGTCCTAGCCCCTGGATACAGATTATTCATAAAATTTTTCGATTCCTGATAAAGGTCAGGGCGGTACGAGATGGTAGAGGTCAGCATGGAGTTAAGGAGTGTCAATTCCAGAAGTTCGTGGACTACATTATTTGCACATGCTGGCTCCCTGCTTTGTACGTATTCCGGGGTTTCGAGGGGCGTTAGATTTAAATAAACAAAGGCGTTCTCGTCACTTCTCCACGTTTATAACCCTTGGTCTGTCCTTCAAGTCTACAATTTCTGATTCCCAGCCCCGTCCTCAGATTTAACAATAGGATTATTGTCCTACCATTTCTAGCCGTTGCGGCCTGGTCTTCTGCTTTTCTGGCTGCTGACCACTTTGAGGCTTAAATTTTGCATTTTGCGGATTCTGGTAGGAAAGCAACAAGATATCGAGGAGCTTCCGATTCCCGGATAACTCGTCTAGCATAATGTCCGGAGATGAGGTGCCGCGCGTCTGACTTGATGATCTACTCGGAGGTGGCCACTATCCCACATGTTCTTCGTTCAAGAGAGCGCCTAATTTACTGTGAGGGTTTGCCTGCCCAACCCGCGGCGTACTAGATAGAGCGTTGTCTTGTTTGTTGCGTTCCCTGATTTGAACTCCCGTCTTGTCGTCTCCCCCTTTACGGTCCCCATAAGGAAGTTTCTGATGCGGACGAAAATGTGAGTTTCAGGAAGCATTTGGGAAGTAGGAAAGTAGTAGGAGGGCGCTCATCGATCGTCTTACGAAACGCACTCGGGGCTCTCTCTCGACTCCAACCAGCAGCCGCACAGCGGCACGTACTATAGACCGAATAACATTACCGACAACGATAAGGGAGATTGGAATGACCATTTCTGGCTTATTAGCCGTGGTCAGCCAGTCATACCCAGCCCAAAGTGTGGAGCACCTTCTCCTCCTCCTCCTCCTCCTCCTCCTCCTCCTCCTCCTCCTCTACAAACATTGTGAGGGGAACGCTACTGTTCGTGCTAGGTATTCAGCACTTGCCCCTCATAATTTAGGACGCAGTCGCCTTTGAAATAACTTAGACACAATCTGTCTGGCGCTCCAATTTTCTAAGCCCCTCTGTGATGCGACAAATACGTCGGCTCTTTGGCCGTTATCTGTTGACTACTGTTAAGTCTTTGATTCCCTAGGCAATACCTCCTGATAATTTCTTCAGTTGTCCAAGCATCTTTGCCCCATCTATAAATACGCTTTTTCCTATCCTCCCATCCAACCTGTTCCGTCGGGCGACTCATTCACCTGGCTCTCGGAAGCTCGTCGTCAACCTTCGCGTGGGATAAATAATTGCGTCTGACAGTGGCTGGTCTCATTTTTATCCTCTTTTTGGGAGTGAGTCATCATCTATCCGGCACGAAAAGTGGTGAATTAAACGTCTGTCCTAAGAATTGCACGAAGTTTGTCTTACGGACGACAGTTTGAACAGCGGGGGAGTTAGAGTGTGGCGTTTTTGTAGCAACTGCTACTCTTTACTGCCAATTGCCAACTTCGTCGGATTTCGGTAGAGTATTGCTGGGGCAGTGTTAGAGGAGTACGACAACGGCAAGGTCTCCATGCCTGCGCTGCCAAGCTGCGGCAACTATGCCGCGATATCGCCCTTGTTTTGCAGCTTTTAACTTATTGTATGCTTGCCGTGCGTGTGATCAGCCACTTCTGCCGGTGTTGTTTCTTCATGGTTTCGAGTCAAGTGTTTGAAAAGGGCGTGCCACCGACTGCGGGTAACTCGCGGCGCGTTTGATAAATAGGTCCATTAAACCCAGGGTTCGGCATTTGCGAAGGACTCGTCTATGCCAGGAGGTTCCTTAGCGACTTTGGAGGTACTTTCCTTGGCGGGCTAAGCAACAGTTTTGGTTCTTATTGGCCTGCTCGAGTAGCAGGTTTGGTAATTATAACCAGAGAACTTGACACAGTTTGTAATTTTAACCAGTGTCGACGGTTGTTGATGCAGGTTTTAGATATATGAAGCTCACACCACAAGGAGACATATGTCCTCGGACGGGCTCGAAGGATTGATCTACTTACTGGTCAGCGAGTTCTCTGTCTGAAAGGACAAGGACTGGCCGTCAGATGTTCCCGCATCTGGGCGAGTCTAGTGCAATTGGAGCTGCTGTTATTGCAGGACCAACCGTTTTTACCCAGAAAATAAAGTTCCAAACATACAGCTTAGTAGTACATATCGTTCTGGCAGGTAGTAGTTCGTTGGTCTGGACAATACACGAAATTCGCTAGCATTTTACCCCTCAAATAAAAAAGAAGTTTAGTCCGGTGTTTGGCTCAAAGAGCCAGAAAAGCATCGAGGAATAACTTAAAAAAACACAATTCGCTTCGCGAAAACGGGCATCCTGACAGGTTTATTGCAAAGAACATTGCCGAACGGCCGTTACAACCCACCACACTGACTGCCTAAAAGAAAACTGTTCCTCAACATCCCTTTTCAAGGAGACGCTGTTAGTTAACTCCTAAGAAGACGCCTTGATCAATCTGTCTCGCGAACCTTCCCAGCAGCAATGGTTCGGCTAGTATTCCCTACTAACCCTATTTTTCGCGGAGATGTTAAGGGTAGGTTACCACCTCAGTGTGCATCTACTCCTTCATTTGCTCGTGCGAGGCAGCACCTATCCAAAAGAACACCAGAACACCTCCCCGCATGGTTGGGAAAAAGCTAAACGAGGAGCATAAACAGCGTCATTCTTGCACATGTAGTTGATTCAGGACATCGTTTGGACCCCAACGAAGCTTTTCATGTGATTTATAAGGCCCGCTTGAGCTATCCTAAACTACCAGGCCAGGGTCTGTTGGTAAAAGCAGAGGCGGCTGCAATCAGGTTACGAAAATTGACCGTATGCGCCCAGAAAAACCTCGCTCAGGCTTTGCGCCTACTGTGGTCAAAGGTTGACTAACCACATGCAACTTTGCGCGCCCTTCCGCTCTCGCCCCACCTGTGTTTTAAAGCTGACATTATCGAATTTCCAATCACTGACATATTTGACTGCACCCTGTCCTCATATAGTTGTACTGGCCTGGGGAGGATTTATCGAAAACGACGTATGCTCGCCAATATGTCTTATGAATTCTTAGATTCCACGTGAAGCCTGTTTGACATGTTTGACTGCATCCGGTCTTCATATACAGGAGGTGGGCTAACTCATGAAATGCCATTAGTTAGCACAAGAAAATCCCTATAACGCGAAATCCGCCCAACCTGCATTCCCCAAAATCCTACGGCAGTAAAAAACAACTGTTCTTAAAAAGAAGACATAGTTGGAGTTATAAATTAATATTTACTAACGCAAAAATAATTAATTTTCACTGAAAAAACTAAAGTTTCAGAAGATGGCCATATTAGAAGTCGCTTAAATAGGGCTAACTTTAAGAGTGCAAAATGAAGGGGGACGCATAAAATGGTGAAAAAATGTAAAATAATAACAAATGCAAACGATCAGTACTTTGTTAATTGTCCATTTGCATCAATCACGGCTGTAACTCTTTCAGGCATGGAGATGGTCAAGTTGTGTACAGTGGCTTGTTCACTGTGATTGTCCAGAATAAAATCAAGTTTTTCATGCATGGACAGTTTCTTATTCGCCTTATGCCAATGTCTTTTGATAAGTGCGAAAAGATTTTCAATGGGATTGAGATCTGTGCTGTTGGCAGGGATTAAAATCGACTGGAGTCCGCCTACGGACTGACTGGCTGTTGTCTAAAAAGTCCGACTACGGTTAATTGCGTTATTAGATTCATACTTCTTTAGAACGATGGTCAGGTTCATTGTCGTGTAAAATTATGGTACCCAGTCGGCGTCGATGGATGTCGTCGTACTGGCCTGAGGAGAATTTATTGAAAGCAACATATGCTCGCCGACATGTATTCTGAATTCTTCATTTCCATGTGAAGCCCGTTGTTTGAGTTTGTCGACCGCATATTGCTTAACTGAAGAACGGCTGGAAAGTAGGCTGTGCTTAAACGTACTGAGGCGGTGTCCATTTCCACTCCTCCCTTCCCTTGTGATGTTATTTGCCCTATGCTGATGTTGTAGGTTTCTTGTACATAACAGGCTATTGCTGTCATTTTTATTGAACAGTCAGCTGCACACACACTCTCCTCCTCTTCCTCAATGGGCCGTAATAGTGGACAACGGGGTAGAAAATCGAAACCCGACAAGAAACAACAACGCAAAAAACAGAAGGCCCTCATGGAGCGATGTCTACAGGCACTCAACCAGAATGCCGCCGAATTTCGTGAGAAACTAGCCGGCGGAGAAGCCCTCAAACAAACTTCTGATGGTGGCGCAGAGCTTGAGGGCGCATCGCGTCCGCTTGCTCACTTTCAGCCTGTACGGATTAACTGTCTGACTAAAGAGACGCTCGCAGATGCTGTAGATATGCTCAGCGAGAAGTTCACTCTCGACGAGGGTGAAGAAGGGGTGCGGGAAGGAAACTGACTCCCCTCTCTCTCCTCCCTGCTTTTGCCGTGTACATAGATGCCCCATTTTTGCCTGCAGACAAAGAAACTGCCTTTTGATCATACTAGCTCTGTTACGGATAATGGGTGCTGTCTACAGGGAACGGAAAGAGATTCAAAATTCAACCCTTTTGGTGGGAACGTTGAAATGTTTATCTGCCTATCTGGGAATGACAACAACTTTGTAAAGCGCATCGTGAGGTTAAGTGACCGAAACCTGTCTGGCGTCATGCCACTACTACCATGCTGCTACTGCTGCTGCTACTAATACCATCGCCACTACTACTACTACTACTACTACTACTACTACTACTGACATTAATACTACCACTAGTACTAATGTCAACACAAATGCTGCTTTTACGACTAATAATACTACCACTACGATCACAACCACTGCCGTTATTGTTGTTACTTAAAGGTTCCAGTGGAGTCGGTACGTGTGTAACTTGACACGGAACTTGTGCACGGGAGATTCAAGGCTGGTCGTCCGGTGATGCATAAAGGGAGATGATCTAGAGGGTCCTTGCACAGGACCAAAACGCGTCGCGGAAACGCGCAGGAGACTCCTGTGGCTAGGCGGCCAATTCGTTGAGTGTGGATACCCACCACTGATGCTTTCCCCCCGCCCCCAGGGAAGACCGACCAAAATCATGCAATCCCCAATGTTTACACTCACCCGTTGACCAACATTAAGGACTGCTTCCCGTGCGCTTCGCAATTCAGCCTTTCTGGATCATTGCAGTCGGGTACATGTGGAACGATGCCACCAGCTGACTGAACTTTCTGACTGACAACTTTCGGAACTCTGTAGAGTTCATTTTCACAGTATTCTTCAGTTGCTCCCACGCAACTTAAACATTGCGTTCTCTATAGGGCGACAGGATCCGCCACCGCAGAAATTGCCATCAGTGTCACTGTGCGCAACGGAAGCGCGCTCGTCAAGGGCTAGATGGGTGTAGGTGAGGAATCCGTTGTTTGTGAGAT